CCTGCTTGGTAGTCCCAGCCATGCCTGCTTGGTAGTCCCAGCCATGGCAGCTGTCAAGTAAGGTACCGGTATTTGAACTTTGGTGTTAGTGTGTGTCAAATGTGAGTAATACCGGTATTACCTGAGAAAAGTATGTACCGGTATAATTTCCCTTTTGACCAAAAAATTCTCCACCAACCTTCCAAATCCCTGTATTTTTTACATGGTCAATGCATTAAATTGTCTTTTCGTTGAAAAACATGTACCGGTACATGTACAATGCATAATGCAGCAAATGTGTCCTGTCAGTAAGTGGGTCTTTACTGGTCTGTACATGTACATGTAGTTTATTGCCTAATTTGTTGTTAGTCAAGTCAGTCTGTGTAAAATGGCTTGCATCCAAAATGGGTCTTCAGCATTAGAACAAACCTACATGTACCCATGCCTCATTGATGAACACAAATTTTGATAAACACAGACAATGGAAATCTGACAAAGTTCAAACATTTAATTCCAAATAGTTGGTAAGATTGTTCATGACATTTTGTGATATTACTGTCCACTATTTCCTGCAACCGGAATCAAATCTGGCCTGTGATGATGGGCTGGATATGTTCGATTTAGTCTTTCACACAATTACCCTCTTAACATGATTACCCACGTAACTTCGGTGACGGAATGCTAAACATGAAACACCGTTGGTAAGTTGGTTAAGATTGTTCCGAGACATCAAGTCAGAAATCTTTGTCCATAATTGGAGAATACCATGGGTCAAGGATCTGTCTAAATCTGAGGTCTCATGCGACGGTGAAATTTCCCACATAAATGTACTGGTAACTTTTTGATGGAGAGTCGGAACTGAGATGTCATTTGGCGTTTTGAAAAATGATACCTTAGAAAATTTTGTTACTACAATATGTTTTACATGCAAGATAACAAGGATATATAAAACAGTTGTATGCAAGTAAGGGATTACATGTACTTGCGTAATGTTTTGACGGACAAAGTTATGTGGGTAGTCACATTTCGAGCAGGTGGCATGTATTGAGAATTGAGCTCGCAGTGGTCGTGTGCCCTATTAATTATTATTTACATGTGGGGAAAACTCAAGTCTTTAGACACCATGAAGTTTCATAGTTTGACTGAAATACAGAGAATAAGCAACAGTTTCCATCTCCTCAGGAAATTTCACAATATCTAACACTATAAGGGGCTCAAGTTTTAGGATTAAGAAAATAAAAAACAAACCCATTAAGCAGTGGTTATGGTTTTATTTCTGATGCACATACTTGATAACATCACCAATTTGTTGTAACTCTTTGATTGCTGGTACTTCAGAAATTAATCATGTAAATGTACATGTGAGTTTTGCCCATCGAATCTACCCATCATTGTAGAAAGAATCATGTACACGTTCTCTAATAGATGTATCTAAATAATTGTTATGGCCAATCCACAAGAAATAATCTACATATTGTTAAACCACACTTCCTGAATGGCTATGAAAAAGTGTATTTCAGTCGGTAGATTTAGAAATATTAGGATTAATGTTTGGTGCTTTGCAACACAAGTTTGTTCTGAAAGAAAATTCTGCATATTCACTTGTGTCAGAAAGTACTTTGGGAAAAATGAAGTTGGATTGAGTGGCACTCTTCTGTGGTCATCTGTATTTAATGTAGATGCTGGTATTTCCATTGGTATTCCCATCAACCTCACCAAATATCAACTTGTCCTTTATTATCACTTGTTAATATCACTTGTTAATTTATGAATCAGATGTTGAAACCTTTGAAATGAAAATGACAGCTGAATAATTTTTCCAATTTCATAGTATACAGTTGTAGTTGATGTGGGCGATTCACAGTAGTGCACGTCCATGAGTTTGCAAAGCATTGACCAATCTCAGCGCGTGAAATCTGTCGACCCAATGCGTGTTTGGAAAGGGTCGACAGATTTCACTCACTGTGATTAGTCAATGTGTTGTAAACTCTCGGACGCGTGCTTACTAAAATGCCCATAGTAAAATGTTCCCAGTTGTGTTAGGAGGCCGGGACTGGTATTTGGGAAGTGCCTTGGTTTACTGTTATTCACTGCAAAAAGAAACAGTGTACTACTGTAGGCATTTGCATCTTTACATGTACTTGCTACTAAGGTTTCAACCGAGGTTACAGAAAGGGTAGATTTTATTATCTGTAAGAAGTAAATAAATACAGTTATATCGTCAGAGTGGATTACCATGATAGTTTTACAGTACATGATGCTAAAATGCTGCACCATACATGTACGGTACATGTACATGTATGTACACAATGAGAGTCTTCAACACCAACATGTAGCGTAACGGTACAGTGTACATACATATACATTTCACTACTGATACATTGTACATGTACATACATGTATGTATAGATCTCTCCGCTGTCCATGTATTGAATTTATGCACAAAATAATCAATACTAGCCAGCATTCCTTGTTTGCTTTGTCATGTTGTATTGGTTTTGCCGAGAGACTGTGTGGATTGATTATCACAAACTGACAAATAATCAATTGGGGTAATTAGCATATTGATCTATGTACATGTACATGTACTCTGTAGTTGTTTTCATCAAGGCAAAATACAGAAGCTTGTTCCATGCACATTTTGCATTGTACTGTTGTAGGAAGGTTTAGATGGCTTGGATAGATGGCTTTTTAGATGCATGCTTCATTTACATATTGATTTACATAGTGATCAATAAAAGTCGACACATCTCCATGTGTACATGTACATGTTTGTTCCATTTACTGTACATGTAAAGGTACATGTGCATGTATATGTACCCGGTATACATGTAAGTTTGAATATGGTCTAGACTGGAAACAGGTACCTTACTCCTAAAAACTGCTTTCAGTTTACAAGTTTAAGGATTATGTACGGTACATGTACATGTACATAACGGTACATGTACGGTACATGTACTTGGAATGCTGGAATGCTGTACAATATCACTTCACATGATACATGTACATGTACCTGTACATTGAGTATTGGTATAGTACCTGTACATTGAGCATTGGTACATGTATGTACATTGAGCATTGGTACATGTATAGTACCTGTACATTGAGCATTGGTGTAGTACCTGTACATTGAGCATTGGTATAGTACCTGTACATTGAGCATTGGTATAATTTCCAGTAGTGTAATCAAAAAGCAGCATTTTAATTAACAAATGATACAGCAGCTGTTTAATTTCCTTTTTTAAGACCTTGCAGCCATCTGTTGGAATTAAGGAGTGATCCATTCGAATGAATGATTATTCACATATTGATTTTGTTGCCAACCTTAGAGTTTAGTCAATAAGACAGATTTTCCATACAATTTATCTGTAAAGGGAAACACATTGAATTGTATTGAAGAATATAAATCAATAATGTTGGTAGCAGTCATACACATGTACAATGTACAGTATACGTAGGTGTTGCTTGGCACAGCTGCTGAGGCTGCAGGCTACCTGGTATACATACCGGTACATGTAGGTACATGTGTGCTTCAGCTGAAGTCAGGTTTAGCATTTAAAAAGAACATTAAAACAACCAGAAAACCAAAAGGCTCCTGGTACATGTACCCCATGCACTTGTTTTTTTTTTTATGTGCTTTTTTGTTTTAAGTGCTTACAAGCTGTCCTTACTTACAAGTGAAACACAAAAAAATAAATACATGTACATGTATGAATAAAGCTACAATACATGATATTGTACATGTAGCTTTTTCCATGTTTACTTTTTTCCAAATAATTTTTCATTTGGAAGGTGATTATCAAAACTTTACAGTGTACTACCATTGCACAAGTACATGTACATGTAGATTCACATTCTTTCTTGGTGTTGAGGCTATGAAGTACTGGGGTAGATTTTCTTGAAGGTGTACATGTACATGTTTAATCAATCATTTATGGGCAAGGGTCTGTTTAGAGACTTGAGGTACAGTAGCTACATGTACAGTAACTACATGTGAAGGTTGTTTGGAAGAGAGGGAAATCAAACACCATCACTTAGGAAGTGACAACTTAATCCACATGATGTATCTTGTAACTGTAGGATTGGACCTAGGGTTACCAGAGATGGACAGTAAAGTGAGTGCTTAGATTATAGGTCAGAAGAGCTGTAACCTATGCGTTAAAAAAGACTGCCATGCAGAAGAGTAAACAATAGGATAGGTACATGTTCATGTAGGGCCTACCCTACTGGGAAAGTTACACATGTACAAAGAACTTACTGCACAACTAGGGATGCAAGTTCCTACAAGGAGAACCACTATCAATTTTTGGGAAAGTATGTACATGTAGACATGACAGAGAATAGCAGTGTACTTTACCGGTACATAGTTTCTGTACATAATGTTCTTCAACGTACATTGTATATGTACTATACACATTGTTCCGGGTACATGAAGTACATGTACTTAGTACTTGAGCAAGAAACGGTACCGGTACTCGAACATACTGGTACACCTGTAGGAAACTTTTTGTGCTGTCCTACCCTTGAATGTACCTATAAAGCATCCATGTACATGTAGTCTGCTACAATGATGCTACAATCATATGCAAATTTATGTAGGCCTATACATACATGTACATGCGTGTACGTGTGTGCATTGTATGAAAGACATCAAGTGCGTATGTGTACATGTACCGGTATATGGGTAGAGTAAACAGATTTAAGGAAAGAGTTACATTGAAGAGTTTTAATGATTGCTCTGGTGAGGTTAGGCGCATACAGACCGTGGGTTTTACATGTTTTAAGTTGGTTCACATTTTATGTACATGTATATACATGTATGTGTCACTGGAGCATTATTGAGTGTCTACCCAAGTACATGTACATGTAGTCTTTATTCTGCATGTGCATTTAATACTGCAGGATGAAGGCTAGGTGGAAACAGTGCTTAGGTTTTCATACTGTACCGG